TGCAAGGGACCATGTAATATTCTGGATATACTATATTAAATCATATTTTATGCATTCATATAGCTGGCTCCAGAACGAGGTCGTTTCCCTATCGCAAGTGCTAAAAGTTCTCCTTGGGGGGARGCTCTGAAGAGCCACTCTGAGCCACAAATGAGAGCAAAGTAAGTAACCTAAAAAGCCTGAAAATAMATGTAATCAGGCAATAAACAATAAATTCCACTGATTAAAAAGAATATTTTAACAATCCTTTTAAAACGATTGTTAGGGATATAAAATTGATTAATATTGAGGTAAAAAAGGCTGCATGTTTCATTCTCTCACATAAGAGAAATCCCAAGAATAATGCTTTAGTTTGGATAATTCTTTCTTTTTTTTCATATCAGAGCTAATCGTGAATTCTGGGAAAATCTCCAACCTGCTTCTGGTCGRCCTTACGCGCCTTCGTATTCAATGGCTTCAGATAGTTGGAAGACAAAAACGAACTACTAAACTGAACATAGTCCTTCAAATTGTTGATTCTTCGTAATAAACTAATTTTTGCATTCAAAATGCTGTTTKACTTTTTTATGGAAATTTGACACCGCCAAATATTTGTGAAATCGAAAAAAAGTCTTTTTCACACAACGCATTTTAGCGGAGGTGTTTTTGCAATAAATATTACAAAAACCGAAAGACCAGCGTACTCCTTCACTACGCCACTATGTTTCTACAATAAACCAACCGAAACTATACAGCGAAACAACAAATATTTTTAAAACTTTTTTTATTAATCTTAGAAAAACGTTCTTATATTATTTTATTTATTAGTCTATATTATAAATGCTCACAGTACTTTAGATTATGTACGAACGATTTGCATAAGAAATTCATTTTATTCCATTCACAACAATTCTCCCAAGAAATATATTAAAACTCTGAAAATATTATATATTAAGTATAAAATTTATAATGGCAAAAAGCCATTTCTTATTGTAAATTTGATTCATGATTATATTATTCAACCTTTCATGAAAAATATAATTTGACTTTGTCTTTCCACACTTGAGGTCTCGGATTTCCAGCAAATCGACGAAATGTAAAATCTAGGGGATTGAATATTATCTGACACTGTTGGTCCGGCAAGTGCAATTGTTCAGTCGAAAGCAAACAGACAGAATCAACAGAGGACTACAAACGAAGAAATGGGGAACTGTACACCTGTAAAGTGCTTGCAACAGTCCGTGAAACAGGGTACATAACAGGTAAAACTGAAATAACGCTTATAATTGACTAAAAACAACCCGGGACATTAGCCACTCTTATACAGAATATATTAAATCTGAACCTCTCATCAATTGTCTTGTTGTCACCGTCACAATTCTGTTTTTTCTTCACTTTCCTCGTCTGATAACCAATCAAGAATGTTGTCATTCAGGTTTTGTGTTGATGATTTTCTGGACGTGTTTAGCGAAGAGGCTTCGGAGAATATATTCTCGTCAATCCTCCATAATCGTTGATCAGGGGGAAGTCGTAATGGCGWGCTCTGAAAAATATGAAAACCATACTATATCAATCGAAAGATAGTTATTAACAACGGTAATACGTTGAAATCTAAACTTTCATTCCATGCATTTCGTA